AGAGAGAGAGAGAGAGAGAAAGAGTGAGAACCTACCCGGCCGGGCGCGAGCCGGAGAGAGCGCGAGAGAGCATTTAAAAGCGGCGGCCTGTCACCGATTTTCATAATTCACAGCTCGTTAAATTTGTTTCGCTTTTTGCCCCGCTTTTCGCGGTTACGCGCCCCGACGCCATTAATCTACCTTCGGTCGTTTTCAATGAGTTTAATCGCGTTTCAAAAACAATGTGGGTCAACGCCACGCTTGTGTTATTCCTGACACGTGAGCATGACCTTCTCGCCATTTTCATTTCGATTTCGGTTTCCCATTCATGCCGTTTTGCAGATAACACGCGATAATGAGCGCCGGTGTTTTTCGAAAGTTTGACGTTGCGGCATTCCGAGTCGCGTTTTGTACTGCATTTGTAGCGAGGCAAGGAACGAAATTCTATAAGGACACGATTTAAGGCGAAATATAAGTTTCGTCTTTGCGAAATGTCTGTATTTACGATTATTCGCTCTACTATAACGATGAGGAAAGCAGTCGTATTATGCATGTTTTATATAGCCAAATTGTATACACATCTGTAGATTTATATTCTAGCGAAATGGAGGAAGATGAACACAATTCAATGGTGTTTCCTTCGTACGAGATCGATGATCGTCAGGAAATTTCCCAAGGTACGATCGCAAATCTCAGAGACTTTTCACGAGATGTCTGCACGACCTTCCTTCAATATGTTCCCATGACTTCTCGCGGTGGGAAACGCTAACGTCTGATATTAAAGTCTACAAAAACTTCTGCTACGTCCTTCGTCCTCCCTCGGGGAAGGAAATAGGAACAACGGTCTTTACCCTCAATGGCGTGGACGCGAAGTTGCGGCATCAAACTCGGAAATTGAAAATTTATGCAGTGAAAACAGTCGCACTTTTGTTTAATGATTTATTATATTAATTTAACGGTTTATAGAATTAATTACGCTGGTCAATTTGATCTCTGTATTTATATTTATCTACGAGTATCGTATAAAAGTAAAATCAATGAAGCTTGTTAAAGCTTATCAGTTGTATTTCATTAATACAGACATCGTTAAAAATGTATCGTTCACAAT